TGCTGCAATATTAAAATGTGTCGGTTCATGGATGTTAGGAGACAAGAGATGTCTCCAAATGTCTCGACACTCGGGTTCAAGTTTTAAAAATGGTGTCATGAAGTTAAACTATTGTTCACTATTGACCCATTACAAGGTTTAGACAGTATTTTAACTAGAGTTGATGACAAACTGGAGTTGAAATGATCAGATATTCCTTTGTTAGGTCTATTTTTACTTAAATGTGTATACTGCAGTTAAAATGACACATTGGTTTTGTTTTGTGTTCAATAAACACTTTCAAAGGTATAATCATTCCTCTTTCTTATTTTGCTTATTGGCATTTACAGGTCCTTCTAAAAAAATTAGCATATTGTGATAAAGGTCATTATTTTCCATAATGTAATGATAAAAATGAAACTTTCATCTATTTCAGATTCATTGCACACCAACTGAAATATTTCAGGTCTTTAATTGTTTTAATTCTGATGATTATGGCATACAGCTCATGAAAACCCAAAATGCCTGTCCCAAAAAATGAGCATATCATGAAAAGGTTCTCTAAACAAGCTATTAACCTAACCATCTGAATCAATGACGCAACTCTAAACACCTGCAAAAGATTCCTGAGGCTTTTAAAAACTCCCAGCCTTGTTCATTACTCAAAACCACAATCATGGGTAAGACTGCCGACCTGACTGCTGTCCAGAAGGCCATCATTGACACCCTCAAGCAAGAGGGTAAGACACAGAAAGAAATTGCTGAAAGAATAGGCTGTTCCCAGAGTGCTGTATCAAGGCACCTCAGTGGGAAGTCTGTGGGAAGGGAAAAGTGTGGCAGAAAACGCTGCACAATGAGAAGAGGTGACCGGACCCTGAGGAGGATTGTGGAGAAAGGCCGATTCCAGACCTTGGGGGACCTGCAGAAGCAGTGGACTGAGTCTGGAGTAGAAACATCCAGAGCCACCGTGCACAGGCGTGTGCAGGAAATGGGCTACAGGTGTCGCATTCCCCAGGTCAAGCCACTTTTGAACCAGAAACAGCGGCAGAAGCATCTCGCCTGGGACTGCTGCTGAGTGGTCCAAAGTTATGTTCTCTGATTACAGTAAATTTTGCATTTCCTTTGGAAATCAAGGTCCCAGAGTCTGGAGGAAGAGAGGAGACACAGAGTTCACATTGCTTGAGGTCCAGTGTCAAGTTTCCACAGTCACTGGGGTGCCATGTCATCTGCTGGTGTTGGTCCACTGTGTTTTATCAAGGGCAGGGTCAATGCAGCTAGCTATCAGGAGATTTTGGAGCACTTCATGCTTCCATCTGCTGAAAAGCTTTATGGAGATGAAGATTTCATTTTTCAGCACGACCTGGCACCTGCTCACAGTGCCAAAACCACTGGTAAATGGTTTACTGACCATGGTATTACTGTGCTCAATTGGCCTGCCAACTCTCCTGACCTGAACCCCATAGAGAACCTGTGGGATATTGTGAAGAGAAAGTTGAGAGACGCAAGACCCAACACTCTGGATGAGCTTAAGGCCGCTATCGAAGCATCCTGGGCCTCCATAACACCTCAGCAGTGCCACAGGCTGATTGCCTCCATGCCACGCCGCATTGAAGCAGTCATTCATACAAAAGGATTCCTGACCAAGTATTGAGTGCATAACTGAACATGATTATTTGAAGGTTGGTGTTTTTTATATTAAAAATACTCGTCTTTCATTGATGGGATGAAATATGCTAATTTTTTGGGACAGACATTTTGGGTTTTCATGAGCTGTATGCCATAATCATCAGTGTTAAAACAATTAAAGACCTGAAATATTTCAGTCGGTGTGCAATGAATCTGAAATATATGAAAGTTTAATTTTTATCATTACATTATGGAAAATAATGACCTTTATCACAATATGCTAATTTTTTGAGAAGGACCTGTAACTCTGCATGTCATCCCTGAAATTCTGACACAGAATCACAAGTCCAAGTGTGAAGTGTCACAGAGTAAACACAATAAAAACATGTATTATCTGCAGCATCGTTCATTAAAATGGCTCAACACTATTAATGTATTACAGAAAATATACATACGGTAGGCAGACTTAAAGATTTGTAGACCATTGCATTAGGTAATACATTCAGCAAGTACTTTTACTTTTAATAACAAGTACTTATTTACTTTTACTTAAGTAAAAACGTTAATCTGGTACTTCTACTTTTACTAGAGTACATTTTTGTCTGTTTGTAGTTTTACATAAGTACAGTGTTTGAGTACTTTCTCCACCACTGGTTTCTCCAGTAGTTTTCAGATTTTTATTTATTTTATTTTTGGTTTATTGTATCCTAGCTGATGCCAAGCAAATACATTTTCATAAAGAAGAACCCCAATTTGTCTATATTGTTGTGCTTATAAGATGATAGCCAACGTGTCACATGAATCCAGAATACATTAGCCTGTGGACGACCAGAAATTACAAGTGCATATCTTATATCTGAAAATAATTAAACAACGGTTTCCATTAGTCATCGCGGCTCTCAGGTCTCAGGAATAGCATCTCTTTTATTCTCCTGTCTATCTTCGAGTAAGAAGATAAAGGAGCATCGTTTGACGTAGCTTGCGAGTGAAAGAATATCCTCATGGAGTCCTAACCATATCAGCAGGGTGGTAGAACAAAATGGAATTAAACAAAAATCTATACTCAAAGAAGAAATGCACAGTTTAGCATTAGACTGGGCATTACTAGAAGTAGTCTGGCTAAAGTCGTAAAATCTTCCAGGGTAACTAAATTAAAACCAGAATAAAATTCAACTTTAAGAGCTATCATTGTCACTAATTACCAGGACTGTCTGCGTAAAACCACCAGTCGTGCAGGCTAAATTAATAATATTCCCTATACATATCATAAAGCCTGTGATCTGAATCTAATGGTGGCTAATTAATGTTAAGAGGCAAAGAGAATGAGCGAGTGAACTGCAAATTTCCCTGTAAACAAGTAATTAGAGCTAAAACATACAATGGCAAATTACCGTACGGTCTGCATTTAATGAGGTATTCAATCATAAAAATCAAAACTACTGTAACTTGTTCAGAGGTCACAGATACTTGGTAGCCACACCTGACTGTTCGTTAGGCTCCAGCTTGTTCATGTTCTGTTTAAAAACTGCACGATTCATGATTCAGCCCAAACACAGCTGTCGTTTCAATCGCCCTAAATGTTTTTAATATCAAGAAAAATGAGTGCATGTTTAAAAAGGTCCATAGATTGTTTATTACAACATACCATATTCTCAACAATTCAACATCAACAAAACTTTAAAAAAAAAAAAATCTGCATATTACTGTTATTGCACAGAACAATTTGAATGTATTTTCCATAGATTTATTTTTTCGTATATATTTTTTTTCTTTTGTAAAAAGTTGGCTTGGACTATACATAGTTAGTATAACCCAGGGTCAAAACTAAAAGGTAGGAATAATAGAAATAAAAAAAAAACAGTATCCCCAGATCACTTGGGACCAAGAAAAGGCTCGATACAGTAGCCACACTTCGAACAAAAAGCATTCGTAATCAGCGAGAGGGAGAACTGTGAGCCACGTCCAGTGTTTTTTTTCTTCTTCTTCTCTTTTATGCAAAACGGATTACACCAAAGCTGCTTCAGATTGCTCCATGGGTGAAACCATCTGTCAGTCCACCCAGCTGCATATTTTGTCCATTCTTCCAGCCATTACTGTGACGTTATTTGTAATGTCATCCATCATAAATAACTTCATCCTCACACACGTTTGCAAAGCCCAGCTGTCCATAGTGTGCAGATGAAACGTTAAGGCTGTAACCCTTGGATTTTATATGCAGGACCAAATCGGAGTGTAAAATGCAGACATTCTTCCCACCCACCTCCTTACAAACAGCGCATATCTCTTGGGGGGAAGCAAACCTGTAAAAAGATTCAGGTAGGCAACATTTCCATGGCTTTAATGGGAGAGGGAGGGTACGGTCATGAACAGAGCATTCATTATGAAAATGAAAACTTAAATACATAAATGGAAAAACTTGACAAGGTAACAATGATAAAAACGTTATAGCTTGAGGAGCACATTGTATCTCAAATCTAGAGCACCATCATTTTGATTCTTTACGATTGTGTTGAGCCTAAAAAATAATACTATCATGTCATTATAGTTGAAAAGTAACTTTAAAATATGCAATCGCTTAAGTTGCTAATTGGGTATAGGCCATCTTTTTTTAAATTGTCCAAATGCAAACCAAACCTACAACCTAATAACAATTGTTAAAATGCTCATTTTTCATTGTATTTGTTCAAACCAGATATATTTGAATTTTAGACCCTCTCAAACTATTTACGATTACACTAGCACAGTGCTACATGTAGTTTGACTGTAGAATATGTGCTGAAACATGATAACAAAAACTGTCTGGTCTGATTCTGTACGGTTTCATGTTCCATGCGTGGCGCCATTGGAGAGTCTTGCAATACTGGACAAATACCACTTTAAACGTATCGCAAAGAATATGTTACTTTAATATCCAAGAACTGATTTTAATATTGCTTCTATGAAATTCAAGCAACTGCAAACTTTTTATGCGTATCACAAAATATTCATATTAGCAGTGAGAGATAGCTCATGGTATCACCCAGTTTAATTTTAAAACACGTTTTTTGTCAATCATATCAGGTTTCAACAATTTATTCTGCCTTGGTTATCATCCATTGCACTTTCAAGATTACCAGTTAACTGCTGTCAAATTAAAAGTGTGTTTTACATCTGCAGTTTTACATTTTCTCCAAAAGCATTAACTTGATATTGACGCTTTTACATATTTCCCCAAACTTTTGTGGAACATGTTTGCAAGTAAACATTCTGCAAGGTTTTGAAAAAGTACATCTTAGATATATCATAGGAATTTTAACTTTGAAACGCTAAAATATAAAAAGACAATTAGTAAATTATATCAGCAGTTAAAATTAATTTGTATTGTACCATAGATTAACAAAAAACAAACTACCCTCAGCATGTCTGAATGTGCTCATCAACCCATACAAATATAACGGCACATATAACTCTAAAAATCATTAAATGAAAATACAGACATACAACAACAATAATCCAAATATGATCGGCCCCGCATATTTTGGCTGTTTGAAATGTTTTATTTTTCTTCTTTTTAAACATTTTTTTCCATTAGATATCCATGGGAATATGACCTTTACATAACAAATTTGATTTTCAATGCATGCCCCACGGGCTTGTAGAAATGACCATGGGTAGTGGGTGTGGTTACATTCCCTCTCACTTTAAAAAGTCAGGAACTGGCCTCTTATCAATCCATCAGTTAGGAAAAAAGAAACATTACTCTATGTTACCACACCATAATCCACAGGTTTGCAAGAGAGGAAAGAAAGTGTCTTCTTTTCCTGTTTGTCTTGAGTTTGAGTTCCAAATTGATGAGCACTGCAGCCTTATTAAATCATTTTCATGTTAAACTTGCGAGGAGCATCCACTGTGGTGCTGCTCATGCCAGCATCCGATTTCCGTGGCACGTACTCTATCTCAATGTTGTGCTTAGTGTTGCCTTTGCCTCTGCTCCACAGGAACAGCAGTACCAGGCAAAATAGGACAACACCAAGAAAAGAGATGAAACCCATTGTAGTTGCAATAATCAGCGTCTTTATGTCAAATGGGAAAGGAACATTGGCTTTAGTACCATTAGCACCAGTCTCTGTTGGCTGGTTGGATATGAAAGCAAAAGTCTTGTTAGGTTGGTGTGGCCAGTCGGGTGAGTAGCTATGAATGTGAAGGTGAGCAAAAGAGGTGTCATTTCCACCTGCATTACTGGCTATACACACATACGTACCATTATCTTGAATCTGGGCATAGCGCACCTCAAGAGTGCCATCTGGCAACACAGAGAGCCTTCCAATTGTTTTGGTGGTGATAAATCTTTTTTGTGGAGAAAGCCACATAATTGCAGGAGCAGGATCTCCATCTGCTTGACAAGCAAAATGAACGATGGCTCCTTCATCAACAAATTTGTGCTGGGGTCTTCGATCCCTAATCCTGGACTTGCGACACGTGAAGTAGTTTGGCTGCAGAACATCTGGAAAGTCTTTGAACTCCTTACCTTGAACAAACTCGGGAGAGGCACAGGTGGGCTGCTGCTTGTTGAAGTTTAGTCTCCAGCGTCGTCGAAAAACCCACAAGAGTCGGCAGTCACAGGCCAGAGGATTATCGTACAATGCAAGGGTTTCTAGGTTGCCAACTGAATGGAAAGCAGATTCCACCAGAGTGCTAAGAGAGTTTCCAGAAACATTTAGAATTTTCAGGTAATTTAGTCCACGGAAGGAGTATGGCTCAATCATTGTTAGTCTGCCTCCAACAAGATGAAATTCCTGCAGACGTAGAAGATCATGAAGCTTATTTCCCTCAATGGTTTGGATAGGATTGTATGAAAGGTTAAGAAAGCGCAAGTAAACCAAATGGCGTAGGGCTACATAAGGAATTGTCGTCAGGTTGGCATTGGCAATGGTCAGAGAGGTGAGATTTAATCCATACAAACAGTTGGGAGTCATTGTATCCAAGTATGGCCAATTTGCTATTTCCAGCACTTTTAGCCGAAAGAGGCGTTTAAAAGAGTAATCCCGTATGACATTGATATTGAGGTGACGCAGCTTGAGAGTGATCAAACTGTGGAGGTGGGTAAAAGCCTCTGTTGGCACAGAGGACAGGTTACACTTCTCAAGACTTAAATGCTCAAGGCTACTAAGGCCATGAAAAGCCCGGTGGGAGATGAAAACCAGGTCATTATCACCCACCTCTAAAGACCGAAGGTTGTATAAATCCTGAAACATGTAGTCCAACAAGATGACAATCTTGTTCTCACTTATGTCCAGCTCGGTAAGATTGCTCAGACCTGTAAATACACCCAGCTGAATCAGCTTCAGCTTGTTGCTTCGCAATCCCAATGTCCGCAAGCCATAGAGGTTATTGAACGCTCCAGGTTCTATTGTGGAGATAGTATTTTCACTGAGCTCCAGATGTTCAAGGTTAGAAACGCTAGAAAACTCATCTGGGTTAATCATTCTGATGCGGTTCTTGCTGAGGTCCAGCAGTCTTGTTTCTGCAGGAATGCCTTCGGGAACAGTCATGAGCTTTTTGCGGTGGCACATCACAGAGCGCTCTTGAACATTGCACTCACAGCGGGATGGGCAACCTGTGGTGGAGCTAGACAGCACGGTGCCCAGCATCAGGATGAGAATGGGCTGCCAGCAAGCCACCAGGTAGCTGTGCCCAGTCGCTCCCCTGGCCACCATCTTATCGGTTACCTGGGGAGAAGCAGAGACATGGAAAACATTTTGTTAGAAAATAAAACATTGTTTCCACCTCGTAGCATATTATGTTTTTTTTTTCTAACAGTTGAGCATATTCCATGCTAATTACACTTCATAAAATACTGCATATGATTGAAAACTTGGATGTTTCTATAGGTTGAAATTGTATTTTGAACTCTATCCCTTTAACCTTTTTCTTAAGGCATCTTGTATGCGCAGTAATCATAGGAGTCAAAGGAAAGCCATTCTCATCACCTGAGTGCAGAAAACAAGGCAGATAATATGACACCTGTTGCAATATTTATGAGCAGACGTAAGATGAATACAGGTTACTGTGAATAGTGTGTGTGTGCATAATTGAAAGTGCTGACAGTTTTGAATTCTGCATCTCATGCTTGTCTCTACACAAATTTAAAAAAGGCATTGTAAAGATTCTGCTATATGTTCTGCCTTCCACAAGACCTATTGTGATATAGATTAAAAGATAGAGATTTTATCCATGAAGGTGGAGGTCTAATTGTACTAGTGATCTACAAACTGCACTACCCCCTCTCCCCCGTGTCTGCTGCGGGCTGCTGAACGTTATTTCCATGGATCACCTTGCGGAAACTCAATCAGCCAATGCTGCTGCTGTGATGTGAAGTGATGGGGCACAGCTTCAACTAAAATGAATGGCACTTTCTGTAATCCACATCATGCTGTGTCACAAAAAATATGCTGAGCTCATTTGTGAATTGTTCTAGTAACATTGTCTTTTTTTTTTAACACCCTACGGTCTTTTTTTTTTCTATTCTCCAAGTCTAGATTTGCTGTGTGAGTTCAAACCCCTGGTTTAGCAAGAGAGCTCAATCAAAGATCGATGGTGGCAACCGTGATATATGTGCTGTGGCTGACACCCAACTCTAGCAATCTTATGGGGTAAAATATAGACCATGCACACCCAGCAACTTGGATAGATGAATATAAATAAAGAGAGAAAGAGAGAAAGATGAAAAAAGTGTGTGTGTTAGTAAAATATCTCCTGTCATAGTGGATGGATTTTAATGAAAATCTCAAGTACCCACTGAAAGGAGATCTACAACTGTTTAACATTTGTATCAAACACACAAATGTTTGTACAAGTCAATTTGACAGAAATTGAACTAAAGTTATTGCGATAACGAAAAGTGAAGCTAGATCAATTAATTGATCAATTTTTTTAATTTTTTTATTTAACCTTTATTTATACAGTTCACTGAGTGACGAGGACTCGTTTTCAAGAGAGACCTGTTTTGGGAACAGATGGTGGGGCCGAGATGGTGTTGAGGTAGGGCAGCTGACATGGGACCAGAAGGTCACAGGGTCAACTCCCTGCCTTGCCCACATGCTCTGGTGCCCTTGAGCAAGACACCCAATCCCTAATTGCTCCCCGGGCACCTACATAGCTGCCCACTGCTCCACCTGGGTGTGTCTCAAGTACGATGGGTTAAATGCAGAGAACTAATGTCATCATTGTATAGAAACATACAATGATGACAACACACAGCAATTAATTATTATTACTAAGGGCCTTGCTCAAAGGCCCAGAGCGGGGCAAATGAGAGTGGAGGCAGGTGTGAGTGTTTTCATTTTTCCACACACATTTTGATGTTGTTGGTCCGGGGAGTCGAACTGGCGACCTTCCAATCACAGGCCCACCTCCTCTAACCTCTGAGCCACCACTTCCCAGACAGTACTGTGTACGACACCAAAACGTGGTGGTGTACATCAGCTGTTGACTGCCCTGATGTCTATAGATCAGCCAAAGAAAGATCAGCCAAATTAAAGCACTAAAATATTGACTGACCAAAACACCTCCGTCATACGTCCAAAGCGAAGCGACTCCCCAGGATCATTTTTGAACTTTGGTGTGCAAGCCTAAGTCAACCTACAAAACTGACTAAAAATGTGTATCTCTGTCAATATTACAATTATTGAGCCACAATTTAGTGGGAGTAACTGAAACTAATATCTAACTAAAAAAACAAACCGATAAAGAGAGCTTTTATTTAAGGCCTTGGCTTCCGGGGTTTTGTTAAAGAAGGAATGCTATTCAATTCAATTCAAAAAATACTTTATTAATCCCAGAGGGAAATTAAATGTTGTTGTAGCTCATTTTCCTTGTTTTATAAAAGAGTTGTTCTAGATGTTGATGGTTGTGGGCGGGAAGGATCTCTTGTGATGGTCCGTCTTATAGCAGATCTGAAAAAACTGGCCACAGATGTTGATCCGTTTACTTGCACTTGGTTGGCCTCCTGGGCTTCAGGATCACCTGAAGGTTGGGCAGAACTCCTCCCAGGGCAATGGCCACTCCTCCCAGCAGCTTGTTGAGCTCCTCATCGCTGCGGACAGCCAGCTGTAGGTGCTGATGGACGATCCTGTCCTTCCACTGTCATGAGCCGTGTTTCCTGCTAGTTCCAGGATCCCAGTGGTCAGGCACTCGAGCACAGCTGGCTGGTAGATGAGAATGCGTCCACAGAACATCCTTTTCAACTCATTTGAAATTTGGGGCTGTAGTTGAGATATTATTTGAGCTTTTGAGATGTTAATCAGCTGCTGTTGGTGGTAGAAACTGCCTTGTTGCCATGGTTACACATCATAACAAATGTCCAAAACTATAAAAGTTTCAGTAAAAATCCTTCCAGCTGCACAGCATCTGATACCAGAGGAAACAATCATCCAGAAAATGTGATTTACATCCAGAAAAAGAGGAATTAAAGTTTCCAAAAGCAAAATCTCAGAATGAAAGTAACAGCTGCTCCAACATGCAGCCACCTTGAGCGGCGCAATTCTAGAACCTATACATATGCCTTTCATTTTTAAACGAACTGCTCATAGTAAACAAAGTTAAGTTCTTTTACCAAAGTATAATTTAAGCACCCTTGTCCTTCAATTAAAACTGGCCTCAAGGTGACGCTTCCTGATCTGCAGAGGATGTTGCACTCTCCTTTTCTTCAGTAGAGTCAATGGACCATGTTACACATTTTTAAATGGCAATGTAGAGAAAAAAAAAATCAGTTTTTCTATTAATAAATTAACGTTATTACCGCAACCACTAATTTTTGTTCCAGGAGAGCAGATAGCTCTTTGTTTGACGAGCCTGATGTCCACTTGTCTATGTGCGTGTGTGTGTGGGGGGGGTTATGGATTGGATAACTTGGCTCAGTTTCATTTCATTCTGTTTAGGGTGAAAGTTCAGATTAGGGATTTGATGATACCATCTGTAATCAGGCAATGTCAAAACAGGCTGAGGGGGTTTGTGCGAGATCAAAGCCCTGCAGCAGAGCCTGTTGTGCTTTATTCGGCCCCAAGCCATATGTGATCATTCTTATTCCTTAACTCCATCGATTGAGTCGGTGCTGAGTGCAGGGAGATCGAGTGCAGTGTTTGTGTGTGTGCAGAGGAAAAGACACCAAAGAATACGTGGTCTCAGCTCTACTGGGCAAGCTTTGATCATGTGTTTTTTACATAATGGATATTAGTCAGTTAGATGGTATTAAACTCAAGTCTATTTTCACCAACACTGACTGGGAAGTTATCGAACCCAAACAAGTTAAAGATTGAAATTTAACATTTTAACAAATGTATTCTTTTACATGGATACCTACACAAGTCTGAAGATTAACTAATATTTGTATATTCTAAACCTGAGGGCAAGGGCGTCAAGATAAATTAAACAAAACCATTGTCACAGCTTCTAATGTAAAATGCCAAACCTTATAAATGGTATGTGTAATTTCATGGAGTATCGTGAGATCTTGCAAAACCTGTGCTGCATTTCCAGAAACTTCTTCTCGGTGTATGTGTTGAAGATGACTGTTGAGGTTTGCAGGTAAAAGCCCAAGGATGCAGACTTACACAAGGGCTCAAAACAGTTTTAAGCTTTAATAAATATAACAAAAGGGATGGCATTGCAGCAAAATACAATGTAGCAAAAAGAATAAAAAAGCATGGAGGGTAACGAGACAGAAAATAACCAAAATAAATGACTGAAGATATAATGAAAGGCAAGACTTTATATGCACTGGGAGTGATGGGTTAAGTGACTACAGATGGGACTGATAAAAACAATGAAAAGGTGTGAATATTAATCTGAGGGCAAACAACGACTGACGAACAGGAATGGCTGACGATGCAGCGAGACGATGAGAAAAGCGGATCTCAGAAAGTAGAAGCACAAGGTGTCCTGATGCATGCTCAATAATCCAGGTGGATACATGTAACAAGGTTGAGTCAGGCCCTCTGGACAGAGTCTTCTTTTTGAAATATTTCATCTTTTATCCAAAAGACTTCTTCAATCTGAGGAGCTGCAACAGACTCAGTCTTATAAATAGTGCCTTCCCATAGTGGAGCAACCAGTTGGCTGGTGACATCCAGAACTAGTGTGGGATGTAGAGAAATGGACAAGGACATTTTGACTGTCCCTCTCTTACAATGCTATGATTGCGAGTATCGTTGGTCCTCTGTGAAAAGCAAGCTGCCATCAGGGCACTAACCATCAGTCGTTAGGCTGTTGCCTCCTGAGTCACCTTGTTCCCTGCCTTCCACCACTTGCCCAACGTTTGATTAAGACCTCGTTGGAAACTTTTTGGATTTCACCCTGCGACAACCCTGCTTGGTTAACGTAAGAGACTGAAGATCAAAACCAACGTCCCAGAAGAGTTTCCCATTAGCGCTGTTCCCTACTCTCCAGGGTTCCTGTCCAGGTCCTACGATCAAGTATACTCTTTATTATTATTATTCACCTTGAAAATAAACGTTTAAACTTCCTCCTGATTCTGAAGTCGTCGTTCTCATGCACATACTATCTGGGTATAGAGCCAAACCTTGCAGTTATTGGCAATAATCAAGCCTTTGTCTTCTGGTCTTCTCTGAACTTGTGCTAGTGTATGCAGATTCTAACTTTTCAGCAAAGTGTTTGAGCTCAGTCTCAGTTACTACCACATCTAATTTTAGGGTCTTTAAAACTCACTGAT